GCCCTAAACCTCCGAGCGGTGGCAAACAGTTCGCCAAACAACTGGCCGGCGATGACTACGAGAAACTCATTGAAGGCCAGGGCTTTCACATGAGTTATGCCGCTCACGGAAATGCATCCAAAGGCGGCGGATTTGCCCTTAAATTCTGATACATTTTGTTTGTCTTAATCATTGATTTCATTGTTAAAATGATTTCAAGTAAAAACCTGATAATTCCGATGAAATATACTGTATTTATAAATAACTGATTGATTCATATTTATATCAATTTCTGTAAATTTTATGACTATTTTTAGCAAAATCTCTGAAAATAAATTTTAAAAACAGTATTTATGAATGAATTGTATGTTTTGTATTTAAAATATTCCCTGTATTTGGGAATTATTTATTTATATACTTCTCATTTGTTGAGAATTTAGTGTTTATTTGTGGAAACAATATGACCGGGAATTGAGTCAAAGTAACTCTCAAACCCTCAACACGTGATTTAAATGCTGAAAAAGTTATACAAAAACAACCGATTGTTTAGATTTTGTTGAATTGTTTGCATAATTGTTGCGCAAAATGAGTGGCAAAGAGACCAATAATAATGACATTTACGATGGATTTAAGCGAAGAGCGGAACAGATAACCAAAGATCGGGTCAACAAAATATCAAAGACATCGCGAATGAATAAGACGGTGGGACTCATGTTAACCACATTTGTCGGCTCTGTTTGTAAGTGATTTCCAGACCATCTGTTGATACGACCATTCATTTGACAATTAATTTCTTCGTAGACTTATATTCAATGTTTGCCGTAAAACAGGAAAAGTTTTTGGATGAGATCGTAGACATCGAGGAATCAAAACAAGTCAACTAATAATTGTGTTATGTTTTACTGTAAACTATATTTTTTGGTTCATTTAATCGTTAGATCTTTTTTGTTGTCTTAATTCATAGAAAAATAGATTCAATTAATTATATGTAAAAAAAACTAAACAAAACAAATATTTATAAAGTATAACAAAAAACAATGATTTGGTTCACATCCTAAAGACACCGAACTTAGTGTCGGGAATGCGGGCATTGAGTGCTGCGCTCAGACTGAGTCCCAGTACTCTTCGGGTATCCGTCGGGTCAATAATGCCGTCGTCCCAAAGCCGAGCGCTTGAGTAATAAGGACTGCCTTCGGCCTCGAATTTGGCCAAAATTGGATCTCTTATGGCTTTCTCTTCCTCCGGAGTTAAAGTCTTATTTTCCCTCAATTTCTGATCCCTTGTAATAGTGGTCAACACATCTGACGCCTGTTCGCCGCCCATAACGGAAATCCTGGCGTTTGGCCACATGTATAGAAATCTGGGCGAATAGGCGCGACCACACATCCCATAATTGCCGGCCCCATACGAGCCGCCGATAATAACGGTGAGTTTGGGCACCTGAGCGCACGCAACTGCGGTCACCATTTTTGCGCCGTGTTTTGCGATACCACTGCTCTCAGCCTCGCGTCCGATCATAAATCCGGTGATGTTTTGCAGGAATATTAGCGGAATCTTTCGCTGACAACAGAGTTGTATAAAATGCGATCCTTTGAGCGCCGACTCCGAGAACAGAACCCCATTATTGGCGACGATTCCGATCGGATAGCCATAAAGACGAGCGAATCCGGTGACTAATGATGACCCGTACTGTGCCTTAAACTCGTCGAAATGACTGCCGTCGACAACCCGTGCGATCACTTCTCGCACGTCGAACGGCTTCTTGAGGTCAGTGCCGACAATGCCGTAGATGTCGTCCAACGCGTACTTGGGTTCGGCCACATCTGCGCTCACAGTTATGTCCGCTTTCTTTTGTCGGTTCAGATTTGAGACAATATTTCGGGTGATTTGTAGCGCATGTCTGTCGTTATGCGCGTAATAGTCGGTCACACCTGAAGTACTGTTAAGACAAGTTTTATTACATTATTCAATAAATTTATGGCTCTTATGAAGAATATATTGTAGTATTCAATGACTGACTAATGTTAGGGTCTCTTCCGGTGCTAACAATTAAAAAGCGATTAAATGTTAATGAAATTCAAGTCTATTATTAATAAATGATTTCTTAGAATAATGTTTAATGTTTTGGAGAATCGGATATAACTTTGAAATTCTATAAAGTGTTGCAAAACTCGTTAATAAATTGTTGAAACAAATAAAACTCTGGACTTTTTGAATTAAACATTGTTTTCAACGATTCAAGGCTTTAAACCGAAATTAATATTTGTATATAAATGGGTTATAGTATTGCATTGAATACTAAATAAATGTTTAGTATTACTATTATTTAAAATGTAATTAAATGGTAACAAAGAATCGCATGAATGAACACAAACACAGAGTCAGTATATATTATGACATCACCTGCAATGCATGTCCGCTCCGCCCAACTCTTCGGACGATACGGTCTCTCCTGTGGCCGCTTTGACGAGTGGCGGTCCGGCGAGGAATATAGTGCCCTGTCTTCGGACGATCACATTCTCGTCGGCCATCGCCGGCACGTAAGCGCCGCCCGCCGTACAGCTGCCCATCACTACCGCTATTTGTGGGATCCCTTCCGAAGACATGACCGCCTCGTTATAGAATATACGCCCGAAATGATTGACGTCCGGGAATATGTCCGACTGGTGCGGAAGGTTCGCACCGCCCGAGTCCACCAAATAGATGGTCGGCAACCGATTCTGTTGAGCGATCTCTTGAGCTCTTAAATGCTTTTTAACCGTTAATGGATAATAAGTGCCGGCCTTTACGGTCGCGTCATTGGCCACAATCATACACTCCTGACCGCAGATGCGGCCAATTCCGGTGACAATAGCGGCGCTGTTGACCACTTCATTGTCATAGCAGTCGTGTGCGGCCAATGGGGACAACTCGAGGAATGGCGAGAATGGATCCAAGAGCTCATTGACCCGCTGTCTGACTAGGAGTTTGCCTTTGGATGTGTGTCTTTGGCGTGACTTCTGGTCTCCGCCTTCACTCACATTCAAGACTAATGTCTTTAATTGTTTAACTAATGTTTGCATCGATTCATAATTGGTCTGAAAAAGTGGATAAACAAAGCGATTAAGATTGAGATCAAGAGGGAGACGAATGGCAGATGTTTTACTTCATATGTCTGTCATTTAATAACTAATTTTAATCATTACTTTGAATTCATTTGACTGTCGGCTCACTTCCGATCCAATGATTGGATAAACGCTTGAATTGTAATATCGATTGAAAACCAACTTTTTATTCAATACTTTATTCAAACGATTCAAAAACATCTTTACATTCAATGCTTTAATTGCAAGCATTTGTTTGATTCAAAGAATTAGTCAATAATTGTATATTTCATTGAAAAATATTATCGTTTCAAATGTTTTACAGACAGAGAGAAGAGATTGTGAAACAAGTTTTGAAACAAAATGCAAATTGGGATCAATTAGTGGTGACATCTCTTATTAGAACAAACTTTAGTCTTATTGTCGATTATAGGATAATAATTGTGACTATAATTAGTGGTAATTAGAGGTCATGTCGTGTCATATGATATGATATGAAGAGAGGGACCAATTGTGGAGACCTTTCGCTCTATGAACTCGTTTCCAGGCATTCAATGCAAACTCTTATCAATTTATGATTTCCACTATTTATACGTGTATTTCAATGAAAAAGTTTGTACTTTTCATTGGCTTTTGTTTTACAAACTTTTCTCCTAAAAACACACTATAAACTACTTTTTGGCTTTAATTGCTTTCAGTGTTTAATTATTTTAGAGAGCATTTAAACGCTGTTAACAATCGATAGGTTTTTTAGTGCGAAACAACTGCCAGTGTTTTTAGATATGAAACTAAAACTAAACTCGTATTTAATATATTGACCCAAATCTCAATCAAATCGAGTGTTTGAATGCGAATACAATACGAAATGCAAAACTCGACTCAACTGTTGATCGCATTTACATTGCTTTCAGTGTTGAGACAGCAATACCTCAATACCTGAATACAGGTATGCGTTCACTATATGTGAAGGTATTTTGCGAGGCATTCGTCGCTAAACATCTCATAGATTGTCGGTTCGGTTCAGGAAATGGGGAAAAATGGGTGCAGGAAATGGGGATCAGGTATGAGGTATGATATAAAACATTTCTACACAAAGTGTTTCAGTCGACAGATGTTCAGACAGAAGCACATTTCCAACTCCTCCTCTCCTTCTTATTGTCACTTCAAACAGGCATTCAATTAATGCAAAACCAATGCAAAGCAAAGCTCTACTTCTCTCCACAGCCACGCATAACAGGCCTTCCTTTTGGTCTCCTTTGGCCTGTTTTTGGACATTTTGGTCACTCATCCGCTGATCCACTGGACCTCCTCTGCCAACGACTACTAGTGCTCTACAATTGTGTCTCTTTTGTGCGAATAATATATTGAAAGAAGCAATACTTGAGCCAAAGCTTACATACAAAGGAATACCCTTTGGATCAAGTATTTTGGCGCCAAAGTGACCCTCTCTTAGCCAACGCATCCACTTCTGTGCTAACAGTGGGTCCGGCAGTAGAGGAAAGCTGTTTGGCTGACGAGAGGCCAGATGTGAGCTAAGCTTGTGATTGGATGGCTATAGCCCTCAGCCCCACAGCGATTGCGACCTTTTTTGCCTCATTTCCAATCTCTGGATAAGACTCTCGTTTTACTTCAGTCTTCATTCACTTCATTCTCATTGTTATTCGAGATCTCATCCAAAGAGCTCTCATTTCGTTCAATACATCCAAAAACCACATCTTTTAAAACCACTGTTTCTTCGTATCCCTATTTCACCACTTTTTCACTCTATTTCATAAGTGTTGTCAAAGTTTTGTTTCAACTTTTTAAGTATTTTTTGTTTCAATAAGTTATAAACTCAATGATCGGAAACCGTTTGATGTGTTTATTTGTCAGCGATTTCATTGAGAAAGCGTTTTATAATTGAATAGTTTTTTTTTGTTAGAGACAAGAGTTTAGTAGAGAAAAAGAGATAGATTTTTGTAATAATATTTCATTGGAGTCAATGATGTGCTGATTGTTATACCAACTAATGTACGAGTTTTTGGTTACACTATTTGGCGTCAATCGGACGACGGTTTTTCAAGAGTAAGTATTTTAATGTATTGTTAACTTTTTTGACTAACTATTAGACCATTAGTTTATGCATTTGATGAGCGCATGTCTATTATAACTGGTTTACTGTAGAAATCTGTTGGAAATCCAAGTTTTTGGTGTTAAATCCTTTACATTTTTGACGACAAGTATTGTTTGAATTGTTGGCCACCGAGTGATGGGAGTTGTGATAGATTCAGACCAGACAGGCCTGGATTGGTGTCGATATTAATGATAGCATTGAATATTGCACTCGTCCCGGCCTGTGAGGCCACTGATCACTTACATCACGTCCACCACAACCACCACCACTACCTCCTCATCACTACTTCCCCTCTCTATCTCTATGTCATAGAAATGTTTGTTTGTTTTGTGTGAAGAAACCAGAACTGAATGATGGCATGAATTAAAAGTAATGGCAAATAACCTGAAATGTCTATCGTTTTGCATCTGTTCTCTTCACAACACAATGCATGCGAAGTCCAAAGCCATGTCTTATTCACACTTTTATGATGCAAAAAAGGTTGCGATAGCTTTAGGGCATTAGGGCTATACCTATCCAATCATAAGCCAGACTCACATCTGGCTCTTGTGCTACCGACTCGACTACAATGCAAACCACTATTACTGATGGTATGGTAAGCGTATGTATGGGCACAAACATACTGGTGAAACATTGCCTCAGAAACTACAATAACAGGCATATTATGTACAAACAGGGGTCAGTCGAGCGCCAAATACTCTAAGCAAAGGGTAGGTATTGTGCTATTGTGTGGCCATTGAATGATTGACTTAACAAAAGGCTCGCATATATCCAGTGGTCATTCGGATAAAACAGCTCTCATTTCTCTGTCCTTTTCATTTGTCGCAAACAAATGTTGGGAAATATTTTCTCGTCTTTTTGTTGCTTAGATTCACACAATCAGATCACTAGTGAATCGCAAAAACATTCACAAACTATAACTCAAACCCATATCTTAGTAACGATTCCCTCAAATGTTATACTCTTTTTCCACACATATTTCAAAGCCTTTTACCTGAAGACAAATGCGTTAGCGTTTGAGAGCCAACCGTTCAATACCTGTATTGCTTTCACACAAACATTGTTGCGCTGAAAGCAATGCATTAAAATGTGTATTACATTCTGGGCCTGAATTTGGGTCATATAATGGGCTATCAGTGAATACTTTTTGGCGTAAAAACTAT